ACTTCAATATAATATTTGTGCAACACATATTGTAATGTCGATTCTATAGTGTAAACTACAAATAAAAGGGAAGGTTATGATAAAGGAATCAAATGTTCAAAATATAATTCAAAAGTTTACAATTTTAATGTTTATTAAAAGTTTACTGACCTCTCAAAGAGGATTTCAAAGCCTAATTTTGGGACTAATCTCTTAATCTGAAATAGGGAAGGAATTCAAAGTCTTAAAATCACTTGGACTCATTAACTTCCACCACCAGAACCACCATTGAAGAAAGATCTAAGTTCCTTACTGTAGTCTAAAGTTGAGTTCCTTTCACTAAAGGATCTTACTTGACAATTGCAGCTGTAGTTGCCACATGCCTTGTTGCCTCTCAGCTCAACATAGATAACTGTCGCTTTTGGCCACAAGGTGTCTCTGAGACCGGCAGCTGTTATTTCTGACCCAGGTCATTTAACATCCTGGTCGTTCCTGACTTTGGATTCAGAATCTGATTGGATATTAAGAGGATCTTATTTTTAAAGTTACTAAATGCCATGGAGCGCACAAGGATATTTCTGTGGCCACAGTCTTGCTCATCTTTACAGAAAAATAGACGAATTATATATTTGCTTACAATAAGAACAAAAATATTTTTAGTAAACAAATCTAGCGAATGATCAGTCAGCATGTGCTACTGGGAGAGGAGCAGGCATGAGGATAGCTAATAAGAAAACTTTGTTGCTTTTAGGGATTCTTCAGACTAGAGAGGAGAAGAAAGATGTCAACAACTTTTTTCTATAACTAATTACTTTTCCGATTCACACTTTTGGAGGTTTATGGGCAACATGAGAATTAAGGCTGCAGTATGTAACTTTTATTAAAAAAAAAAAATAATAAAAAAATAAAAAAAATTCTCACACATTTATAACATATTTGAGACAGATAATCTGTGAAAAAAAGAAGAAGAAAAAAAAACGAGCTCCTTTTACTTCTCCCAGTGCTTCCAATGCTAATTAGAAACAACTATTCAGAGCCAAAAGAAGAGTCTTAGCTTAGCGCAGTCGATCATCCCTCCTTCACTCCCTTCCTTTCTCTCTGCTACGATGCAGCTTCAGAGCCTGTTGTGAATGCTAAGGATATTCAGCATGGCCACCGATGACAGCGGATAAACGGTTTACCTAAAAAGGAGAGTTGTTTCTCTGTCATTAGCACATTTAGCATGAGGTTGATTGGCAGCGCTAAGACACTCCTCCTGGCTTTGATTGGTTGTTTTTGACCGGAAGCGGTACATTTCTTCAAACAGAAATAGCAGCACTACCTTTTCACAGATTATCTGCTTCATATTATACTGCCACAACATGGTGATAGTTACAAATATAAAAATATCTGATTTTTTTTTTTTTAAATAAAAGTTACATAGTGCAGCTTTAATTACTTCTGAGGAGGTCATGAGCAATGATCTTTCGTACTATAGGAATGGCAGTGTGAAATGAATGCATACCCCTTCAGTTTATGACATCCATAATATGATCTCTTTTCAATACTTGTAAAGTAATCATCCATAATTGTTACTGCTTTATTTATTCCCTAAGCCTGACTTCATACTTCTTGGATATCAAATTCAAACCATACGTATTTTTGTATAGCACAAGTAGCAAAGGATAAGTACAAAGTTATTCTTGCAGATTAAAAATGAGGGTCCAAATCACACTACCCAATAACCAAAAACACAATTTCTTTTTGATAAAGTCATAGTTAGTCTGAAATTACCAATGCAGTCACATTGCTTAACATAACTGTTCCAAATAATGAAATATAACAAATGTTACCAGCATATCTTACCTTCAGTTCTCAGACATGTGAGATTGGAAGGTGTGTGTACAACTTCTGAAAATGTAGCATTTAGTTATGAGCACCTTACTCTGCTGTTTTTCCACAGGGTTACAAATTTGTTTGGAAATATTAATGCTCCTTGTTAAGCTTTTTTTTTTTTTTGGTCAATATCTGCTCCTATGTCAACAGTGCTGCAGTATTATAAACTTTGTGTCAGCTCTCCTAATGTGTGGTGCTGTGCTTGTGTGTGCGCCATTTTGTGCACCTCTGGGTCGGTGACAATGTACCTTGAGCAACATTTTTATAAATAGCAAGCAACACCACGTGTAATTGGACAACAATTACATGTTGTTCAATTCAACATGTAATTTAACATGTTACAGCTCATCTATCTTCTACTTTTATTTGTTTTTTTTCATGGCTCTCCTGCTTATTGTACAAAAGAGCAAAGCTCTTTCTTTCAAAAAGCTAGATTGTACAAAAGTTCTTTGTACCACAAGAGCTTCAAGATGTTGGTTCCAAAAAAAGAACACTGTGCCATTATACTTATAACTCTGTAAGAGTAAAAAAAATGAAATTCAGATTTTGGAGTATATATTCCTTCAGTAAATTTCTTTAATGAAGGTTTGAAATCCACCTTGTGGAGAGATGTTTTCGCAAAGTGGGGTTCTACTAAGAGGTCCTCAAAATGTAAATATTCTACCTGTAATAGATAAGCTAATAGCTTTTTCATCAAATTTAGCTAGTAAGAACACATGGGGGAAAAGAAATCCATACTCAAATGTCAGCACTGATGTGAACAAGTTTACCAAACTATTTAAAAAGGCATCTTGTCTGATTACACAAATGTCTGTTTTTATTTCTTGGAACGTATATTGATCTGCTGAAAAATACTGAGGCTTTCTCAGTTCATATTGCTTGACAGAACTTTTTCTATTTTATGAACTCTCCAGAACCCAGAGAAATACTATCACTATTGGCCTAACATTCAGATGGCTGAGAATGTAAAGTTTATTTTAAAAGAAAGTAAAACTATCTAGTTGTAATGTACTAGTTATGCGAGTTCTTTTAGTCAGGGGCCATTTTTTCCTAAAAACACTCACGCAAACACTCACGTATGTCGTCATTGCATTTACATCCGAGAGTTCCCTGGGCCTTCCCAGGGAACTCTGGGAAGGCCTCAGCATCACTGTGAAAGTCGGCCTTTCACAGTGATGTGTAGAGCGTTTTTCACAATTTATTTACATGACATAAACTAAACATATATCATGCTTTATAGCTAAGTGTTGACATAGATAAGACCCTTTTTTATTGTTCTTAAATGTGTGTCAACAGAAAAAGCTTCACTGTTGTTTTATGACAACAGAAAAAGCTGCAGAGGAGGAGTTTTACTGTTTTGAGCAAAATAAAAACTAGGCGTCTCTATCTCTCTGCCCACAGTGCCCATAGACTGCTTAGTAAGGGATTAACTGGTCAAAAACTCTTAACAGAACCCCGCTTTAATAAGTCGAAACAGTAACTCAAAATGTAGCACGCCTATTATTAAATTAACTTCAAGCTGTCATTTACAGGAAGACATTGTTGCAAACAGGCTTCTGTGAATTTTATAAAAAAAAAAGATCAACAGTCTCTCCCATACTCTTTTGTTATCATAAAATTCTTCATCTCACTTTGTAACAGAACCACATTTAATTTTTTCCCTCACTGGGATCCATGTTGAATGAATGAAGCGTTCCACACAGAAACGCTTCAGAAGTCTGAACCTGTGATTTATTTGACAGATGAAGCACAGGTACGCATTATTAAAGCTAAGGATGATTGGCCTTAAGTCTTGGAAGTGTTATATGAGAGGAAATAGTTTCTAAAGCATCTAGTTTTCCATCTCCTGAAGAAAAGACAAATCCTTAATTTATTTATAAGTGGAAAGTTTTGAGGCATTTCACACCGAAGGACATAATTCTGCTCTCGTCTGATGAAGTCGATACATCGTTTTGAGAAGGATGTGACGTTTTTTTGGACCATATAAAATCATTGACAATAATGTATGTGCAGAGACCCGTAGATAGACATATAATCCCAAGGCAACACAGTATAACCTCCCGACTCTGTGAAATGTTGTTTTTGTAGATTTGGTGAAACAAGCAAGAATTACGATATATATTGAAAGACATGTTTTTAAAGTTTAATAGTAGTAAATCTGCTTTTATATAAATATTTACTTACAGGCATTATTTTTGACTTGTTGGTATTATATAATCACAATTATATATCCAGAGATCTATGTATAATATATGCTAATAAACTATCTTTATGTAGAAAATGACTCGTTATTTCCAAGTTATTGTGTGTTGGTGTGGATATGTGTTATTAGGAAAATATTAGCACCTTCATGGACACTTAAATATGCTGGAAATGGTTTGGGTCGAGTGGTGTGTGATGTTGGTCATCCTGAGGTATTTCTCTGCTGCGGTGCTCATCAGCGGTCCATAGCTGTTTTACATTCAAGTCACACACTAAAGAAATGAACAGGAATTAAAACTCAAGACACTATATAGATTTTTTTCCAAGTAGGTTAGTGGTTTCAACCCTTTTTTTTCTGTTAATTATGATTTTATATCTACAGCTAACAAAAACATAATTTCAAATTTGTTGCAAGGTGATATGTTGCAGCAGCATGACTCTAACCCAGCGGTTCTCAATTCTCGCCCTTCATTTTTAGATGTGTTTCTATTCCAGAACAACAGATTCAATGATTGCATGACCTCTTCTGCAGCTATCAAGTTTTGCAGAAACTTCACAATATTTAACCTGTACGGTATAGTGATTTTCCTAATACTTGCATCTGACTTTAAGCCATTTTTGTCACGTATGATTTTGTTTTGAAGGACAGAATAATCTTATTTTTGACAGTGGCTGATTTTGTGTGTGCGTGTATATATAGGGATGAGAAACAGAAACAGGGTCATGTCCAGTAAGGTATCCGACATGGGCAAAGCAGGGAAATCCAAGACAAAACGTGGTTGTGATTGTGGTCAGGCAAAGGAGGAAATGCTACTGTGATGGCCTGGGTTCAGGAAGATTTTATGCTGCGGTACTTCCAGTCAGAAATAAGACTGCATATAACTATATCATAACTGTGGGGTTTTTCCAATACGTTAAAACAATCCAAGTGCATTTACTTCTCAATTTTATCACATATTTATTAAATAGTTGGATCAAAAACTTCTAACTACATTGGTATTCAAGCTATCTTCTAAAATAAGCATCAGTTGGTTAAACACCATGTCACATTAAAGGATAAATGAAAAACTGTTCAGTGATTCTGTGTCCTGGCATAGCGGCGCTTTGTTCTGGCAGACTGAATTTCCCACACATAGAACACCACCTAGTGAACAAATTGAAACAGCACACATTTTATGGCAACCCGTATTTGCAGAACAAAGATGGGACAACCTTTTATGATTAGATTTGAAACTCGCATATCAACAAAATACATGCTAATCAGTGGGGTAAAAAGTGGATGTGCACTATATGCAGTGCCATGCTACAGGGGGCGCCAGAACGAATAATGATTCTTCTTGGTATTCTCTGTATTTGACAGCTGTTTAAGCATTGAAAACAGCCAATAATGAGCAGATAATGTGTCTGCATACACAAGCCACTTTCTTTTTTTTTTTTTTTTCAGTACACCTGTTGAATACTTGTTAAAAAATAGTGAATAATGCAATCATATTGGATATCTGTAGGGTCCTAATCATAGTAAAGACCATAGTACTAAAATTTAAACAGAGCATTTTTTTTCTTTGAGAAGAAAAACATTTAAGTGACCTTGAACGTTGTGTGATTGGGTTGGTCTGAGATTTTCAAAATCTCCAAGTATGCTGTAATTTTTAATGCTTTAAAAGTCGAACAGAATGTCCAGGAAAGAGAACAAATAATCATTAATCTGTGGTTGTGGGAGCAAAGACATGTTGAACGGATAATTGCTGGAAGTACAAGACGTTTTCTGAGCGATATATTTTACTAAAACTATATGCACATTATATACAGGTAACAACAAATGGTGTACATAAAAACTTTGGTTTAAAAATAAAGCAAATCTTAAAATGTGTTACTGAAGAAACATCTGACGTAAACCTTTGCTAACTTGGAGACAAGCTTCTAATCTGTAGCCTTTCTGGTTGGTTATGTATACCAGCTCCATCTCCACATCACAGACAGACAGGCGTGATCTGATGGGTAAATGATAACTGGGAAACGAAGGAAAATATCGTACAGTCCAAGATGTTTAGATGGTCCTGCTGGACAAGCACTGGTTGACTACTTCCAACAGAGACGAGTTCTCCAAAGCTGCTGCCACTCTCTCTTTGTCCGCCAGCTGTTTGTTCACTGCAGATGGAAACAAATATACATTTCTGTACTGTTCAGTCTGCTTAATGTGACAAAAGGAGCATTGATCAAGTTTTGATAAATGCTTGATATCAAGCATTGCCAATTGATTGGCTTTCAGTTGGTGACTATTGAAAGCCACTCCTTTCAGTGGTCACCAATTTAAGCACTAAAAATCATTTGTATCAGTCTTATGTAAAATCTATATTTTATATACGAGATTCTTACGTAAAGAATCTCATTTTTGGGTTTTCTCTCTCAACAGTTTGATATGCATCTGCACGTTCAAACATTTAATGTGCTTTAGCATGTTTCTACCTGCTTCTTCTGAGGCATGAGTTCCAGGAGTGATGTGAACATCAGTCTGAGTAGTAAAAGAGAAAGTCTAGTTAAACAAAAAATAATAATAATAATAATAATGATGCAGTACATTTTAATTTACCAACCAACTCATAAGAGCAGATAATATCTAATGATCATCTTCTATATCCAAGCAAACTTACTTTGAACCTGTCTGGCAAGGAGCGCAAAAGCTTGACCTTGATGGATAGACCAATGAGTGTCGCCATGCTGCAGTGGGGGATTGTGGGAGTGAACTCGACACTCACAGTACTCTCTGTATCATTGACCTGAAGATACAAACACAAAAAAAACCCACACCAAAATTCAACTTGAGGAAATTACTTTGTTGAAGATTCTTCTACCGGCACACCTCCATAATTTGTGGATCAGACCAACCCTGATGAGAAAATACCAATCTGGAATCTGAAAGACCGTAAGGATCTCAGGTCAACTTCCAGAAGTGTGTCTACTTCCTGGTCAATGACAAACGAAGGAATTAGTCATTTTCTTTAGATTTTGTCGCTGGCAAAAAATATCTTTCTTCACATTTTGAGAGATCAAACATCCCTTGAGAAGGAAGCATCATTGATGAAGGTGAGAAATTTAATGGAATCAGGCAATAGGTGTAGCAGTACTTTGCTAACCACTCATTAGCTGCATTTTCATGTGCGCAAGTCATAGTCAGTACTATACTAATGTTGAAAAAACAACTTTGTGATTTCATTTGGTGTAATTAAATATGAAACTAAATGAAAATTGTACATAAATAATTTGGACACACTTGAGGAAATCATGGCAGCAATGGATGTAAACAGTTACACATAATTCAGCCTTGGCGCTAAAACTCATCATAGGAGACGCTGGGGTTTTATTCAGGTCTTATACTTGGCCTGAATAAACGTTTAGTGAAACTGTAGTCTGCAATTTTACAGAAGAGCTATGGATACAACATGTACGAATGAGAACTTTTTATGGACTGCGTAATGCTGTGAAAGCTCTGGTGGAGACAGATGCACATTGTCTGAAAAAAAAAGAAACACAAAACAAACCATCAACCACTTCCTGTCGTCTAAATCGTTTTCACCAGAAGCAACATCTGGCTGTTGATCACGTGACAGTGTGTTTCCAATGGAGTTTTGCGAAATACACCTATTTCTATATGACGGAAAAACCACTTCATCATAGCGCAAAAACATTTTGTAGAAAGACAGGTGTTTTTTTTTAAGTTGCCTTGTTTCCATTAAGTAAATTTATTTTCGTAATTTGAATTTTCATAATTGTTCACTTCAAAATATATTAATAATCAGAATGGAAATTGAGCTCATTTTATTTTATTACGCAATTAATTGCTTTTTGCAACAGGCTTGCTAACACAACTAGCAAAAATACCCTAGAATAAATACAAAATTACTTCTGAAAGTAATTGGTTGTTTTGGTTTCATTTCCTGTTTCAGAGTAAAAGGGGCTAAGCCCAAATGCACGCCACACTTTTCAGATTTTTGATTGTAAAAGCAAAATAGACAAGTATAATATTTCTTTAATTTCACACTTGGGCAGAATTCCTCGTTCGTCTGTCACATAAAATACATTGAAGTTTGAGGCTGAATCTTTTCAGAAGCCGTTAGTGGTGAAGGTTAATAAGAATTTAAACACGAACCTTAACTCGAACCTGCTCGACCACGTTGAGCTCCTCCAGAGACAGCGGATGCTCCGGGTCATTGATGGATCGGATCAGATGTAGCACAAGTTAAGGAACATCAAACATTTATTCAGCATTTATTCTGCATGACTGAAACTTTTTTTTTTTACTCTTATGCATCAAATAATATAAAGTGCAGGCGCAGGTTTCGTGGTTTATTGTTTGCTATAAATTTTATCTACTTTAGGACCGTTCTCAATTTTGCTAAGTTACATTAAATACAACCTGAATTGCAGAACATTTGCATCATTTTCTTTTTAAAGGATATCAAATATTTCCCTGTCGTCGATGGGGTCGTGAACGTCTTCGTCCTCTTCGGACGCTGTTAGCATCCTGTCCCCGGAGCGCTGGAAGATCACCGGGTTCGCATTCTCCAATTGGACCCCTCCGGACATTTTCACCTATATTTTATACGCCTTTAAACGGAAATATATATATTTATAAACCGTTGTGCTGCGTTATTGTGCTGGAAAGAGCAACCTGACGGAGCACTTCCGGGTTTAGCGGAAACACCTTATATTATGTCTATGGGAAACACAACGTCAAAGAAAGCGTCTTAAAGGAACAGTTCGCTTAATAAAAGAAGATGAGCTTCAAAGGCGTTCTATGTTCAAAGGTATTGCCGCTCTTTCTGATTTTAGCTAATTTCGACTTAAAACAGCATAAGCATTCAGCATTTACCACACAAATAATGTAAAAAAGGCATTTTTATTTGATTAAATTAAGTGTCTCAACAATAAGCGCCTTCGAATGTCCAAAAAAGCATTTGATGTATTATTATTATTATTATTATTATTATTATTATTATTATTATTATTATTATTATTATTATTATTGAAGTACAGAGTAACATTTACCCAACATTGTTGCCAATAATACCTGTAAAGGTAAGTTATCAACAGACGTACAGGAAAAAATAAAAAATAAATAAATAACCTTCGGTGTCCCAGAAAGATTAAGGCTTAGTCTCTGCTCCTGAGCTCAGAAAATTATTTCTCAGATTTTTTTTAGAAACGCCTGACTCTATTAAATCAGAACCAAAACATTACTGTCTACATCAACTCTGTCAAAGACGCAAAATGCATTAAGCCTTAAGGCATTTTGATCATGCCTCAGCTTTTTCTGCATTGTTTTATATACTGTAAAGCAACTGCAATTCCCTTGCAAATGAATGATTTTGTAAAAATAAACTTGTCTCTCTGTTCTACACTGATATTTTTTTAGAGATGTTAATCTCTATTTTANATTAAACATAATTGGTCACGGTGTATTTTGGGCTTGAAATACATGGTGTAATTTTTCCGTTTGTCCTGTAGATGGCAGAGTCTTTTTATTCTAGCCTGACACGCACCATGGCATGTTGGTGGAAAACCCACAAACAGGTAAGATGTCTACTTGCTTATCCGTGCAGTGGTCATTAGGGTACGGTTTCCTGTCAACAGCAATAATTGGGGAAAGCTGGGGGGGAACATGGACAGAGTAATTCTGCAGAGCATACAGTTATATTCCATAAAAAAAATAAAAAATAAAAAAACATTATTGAAAAGTCAATTTAACTTAGTTTAGTAGGTGAAACCCATTCCACACACATTTATGCACAGATTTATGTTTCAAGGCTTTATTTCTGTTATGATTATTTCCCACTTATGCCGACATTTAGAATACTATATAAGCCAATAAAAAAACATACTTAACATATAAACTCTCTCTCTCTCTCTCTCTCTCTCTCTCTCTCTCTCTCTCTCTCTCTCTCTTTTCTACCCATGGATGACAAAAGTAATCAGTCTGGTGCAAAATTGTTCTTTTCTTTTGAAGGACGATTTTGCTTACACAGACTTCATAATTCATTTTATTTGTTGTTTCTGTTGTTTTGATTATTTATTTTAAAATGTCTTCCATTTCCAGTGTTATCCCTCATGGCATACTAAACTCCCATTTATTTAATATTTTATTGTATATATTTATATTATAGTTTCTGTGTCATTACCATTATATTACTTGAAAATGGTCTCAAATCAACAATATAATCATTTATCACAATAATTTCTGGGACAATTTATCATCCGACAAACTTTGTTATCGTGACAGGCTCACCGGCTGAAAGGTTGTTAAAAGATACTTTTAATCTGGTAAACTGGAAGCCATATTTAATTTGACTGTACAGCTGATCTGTGATTATTCGAATATTTTGAGCACAGTTTATGAAGACAAAATATAACAGCATACCGTACTTTAATGCAGAATGACAAGTGAGAGAAAACTGTGAACTGTTAAAGACAAAATTTTTGGCTAAAGCCAACACATGTACACAAATGTATCCTCTTGTACTGTCTCAGCAATGCTGTCAAACATGTAAGGACTGTCTTAGTCCATTAGTTTGTGTTTATTCTTTATTTCTGAGTGCACAGAGATCAACACAGTCCTGTGCAATCTGATGTTAGTCAGACACTGTTTCTGCAGTTGAGCCCAGAGCAACACACCTGATGTGCTTTAAATGAGACCACAAAGCTGGTGACAGCCGGTGCACCACCTGAGATATAAAAAGCAGCAGCGGTCATTAGAATACAACCTTCTAGGAAGAGAATGTTTCACCACCTGTGACATTTTAGCATTTATTCGAAAAGATCGAGCTCCGGAGAGATGTAAAGTTTTGACAAACTTGGTATTTTCAACATCAGACAACATCGCTGACCACTTTGTAGCAGTTTGTCAAGTTTGTGCTGAGACAAAAGCACATTTGTTTGCTAAAGTGTCTCACTAAAGTGTTCAAATCTCCTGAACTTGCTGAGAAATAAAACTACTGATGTTCCAGTTATTATTTATAAAAGGCAACTCTAAAAGAAAGGGTCTTTTGGCCTTGAAGTTTCTTCAAGATTAGCAAAGCATAAAAACTGAAAGCATTTGATTCTGATTCTGGGGATGCAGAGCAGATTTAAACCAGAAGACCTGAGAGGTCTGGAAGGTTGAGACAACAGCAGGTCTTTAATGTATGTTGGTGCTAAGTCATGTAGTGATTTATAAGCTAACTATTTTAAAGTTTATTCTCTGAGTTA